GATATAGAGAGATAGAGAGAGATAGATACATAGATATATATAGTGATGATAGAGATATATATATATATACATATATATATATATATATATATATATTGTAACGCCCCGCATTTTCATAAGCATATTATATGAAATTATATTGAGTAAATTGATAATTTCCATTTCATGAATTAATTAGTAACTTTTACGTACCCTAATGATTACGTGAATTATATACACTGTGTTGTTTTATGTTATTATGTTGTTTTATGTTATGTGTATATTAGAGCAACGTGCGAGCGACTCGATTTGATAAGATGATTAAGTAATTATGTTTATGTGATTTAAATGAACAATTAGTCTATGCTAATATTGATATGAAATTTAAATTATATTGATTTATCTCTCATGTACATGCTTAATTAGAATTTAAATGATCTTATAAGAATTCTGATATGATAATTAATCTGCAATGTATCTTTAATTGTTTTACGATTCATGGTTTAATAAATGTAGATACGTATATGTGAATGTTGTGTGTATATATATGCTACGTGAGTTATGATGTGGTAATTAATCGGTGCAATTTATCTCTACTATTGTATGATTTAATTATTATAGATACACATATTAATGATTTGTGTGTGTTTGCTATGGATGTACCGTATGTGTTTGAAGTATGTAGTCTAGTGTATAATTTATTTTTCTGAATTGCTATTAGGACCCCCTGTGGTTTTAGATATTGCATAATAGCCCTTGGGAAATTTCCTCCTAATTTCCTAATTTCCTAATTACCTGCAGCAGTTCCTTCTTCTTCTTAAAGAAGAAACGGGTTTTGGTCTTCACTCTTCTTCCTCTGATCCCACGGCAGCTGCACCCCGGAGACTCGATGAAAACTCATCAAAATTTCCCCTTCTTCTCTGGGAAGTTTCACGTCTAATTAATGGGATTGATTTCCCTATAAAATCACCTAAACCATCGAGAAGGATGGGGGAGGGGATAGCTCCAAGTTCAGCCCCAAAAGCCTTCCTTCAGCCAAAGCTCCGAGAATCCTTCGGTTCCCTCTTCTTCCTTGTATTCGACTTTCTTCAAAGAGGTAAGGACTTTTGGTCCTAATTGAATTAATGATAATAATAAGATGATGTTTATGTGTTTTTAATTGATTAATATGCTTAGGAATCAGATTTAGGGAATTCGATTTCCAGATTCGCAGTCTCAGATTCCAGTGCATGTTTCATCGATCATTTATTTTCTGAAAATTATGAAATTAATTGTGCGTGTAGATATTTCTGTTAGCTTCGTTTTGATATATGGTATGCATAATTTGGAATTATATTGATCAAGTAATGAATCGTTTTCTGAAACTGCACGATTACTGAGTCATCTACGATTTATGTGTTAAATTGGATTTTATCTTGTTTTGATTCATGCGATTCTAACTGGATATGATTATAGACTTATAAATCTGATTCTCAGAGAAATTTCATGGTGTTTGGTTGAAAGAATGATTTAATTGGTATTTTTAAAGTTGAATGCTCTGTTCTGAAATTCTGCTGGTGTTACTGTACTAAATGAATTATTTCTCTCCCAGGGATAGGTATTTTAAGGGATAGGTATTTTACTGAACTGTTTTAATATGGTATAAATCGCATATATGTGAACGTTGTGTGATAATTTCATTAGGTTTGTATGTACGGTTTAAAAGATATGAATTTTTAAAGTTTAAGTACCGAAGCTGCCAGATTTCCTTGTACTTCTTTGGAATAGAGTATGTGGATTTGAATTTCATATATTATGTGCGTCTGTGATATTATGATTATCGTATGCTTATATGTTAACATAAGTGTATAACCTAGAAAACGCATGAATGATGCATTTATGATAATCACGTTGGTATGTTATAATTTTGAAAGTGGTTATATGAAATAATAAGATAATCCCCTTCCCTTGTATGTGGTACGTGTACGTTGCATAAATAAGAATGTTCATGCAATTTGAACCGATTATGTGAACTATTTGAAGAAGAAACTCTAGGAAGAAAATGGTTTGAATATGTTTGTTAGCTATTTGGTTATGTATTATATGGTTACGTGTTTTATGCTAAGTGCATGTTCGATTTAACATGGTTATATTATTGGAGTTGAATGATTTGTCATTTATGGTATTGCATGGTCAAGTATAGGAACGTCAGAATCTTAATATGGTTATCGGTCGAGTAGACACGGGAATACGAGGGGCCAGTATTCCAACTACAGTACTATAGACTAGAGTGGGTAGCTCCCCTCAAAACATGCTCAGAATATCGACGTCTATTACCGATAACCATGTTATGAATCTGCTAGGGATACCGTCACATTATAGTAATTGTATTGACATAAGTATGAGTATGTTTATTTATACGTTTTGAATTGTTTATATGATTGGTCATTTATGATATTGCATGGTCAGTATAGGAAGTCAGAATCTTAAATGGCTATCGGTCGAGTAGACACGGAAATACGGAGGGGCCGGTATTCCAACTACGGTACTATAGACTATAGAGTGGATAGCTTCCATTAATAAACGGGCTCAGAATATCGACGTCTATTACCGATAACCATGTTATGAATCTGATAGGTATCCCGTCATATTGCATTTAAGTGTTATAAATTGTTAATACAGACTATGGGGACTTTATGTCTATATGTACTACAGCTAAGTGGTCGTTGCATCCCCATGTTAATACACCATTTTGTTTACGTGAGTACACCTTGTGAGTATACGTTAAGCAGGGGAAACTCGTCGCCCATGTCAAAATTGAGGTTCTCGAAGCGGTTATGGAAACTGGTGGAGCTGAGAAACTCAAGGAATCACAAGCTTTTATATCAACCGACTATTTTCAAAGATTATAGTCACTTTCTTTTAAGTGTTTTAACTTGAGAAGTTTATAGTTGTATTTATAATGTACTCTATTTAGGAATCTAGTCTATTAAACCGGGGTGTATGTAAAATAAAGTTATTTTTGTGTTCCGCTTGATTACAAGTATTGCTTTAAAACCCCGTCTATGTTGAAGTAGCACTCTTTACGAAAATTCTATCTTTCAAGTGTGGGTTATGTTTTGAAGAAAGAAAAATGCTTTGACGATTTCCAAACTTATTTTCTAAAGGATCAATTAGGATCCGAAAGTTTTAATAAAGTTCATTTTTCTAAAAATTGTTCTTAATTATATAAACGACATGGAGGGTGTTACATATATAGTAGAGAGAGAGAGAAAGAGAGAGAGAGAGAGAGAGAGAGAGAGAGAGAGAGAGAGAGAGAGAGGAAGCTGTGGGATAAATATTTTGTGCTTTATAATTCTTGGATATTTTTGGTGCCTGATTAATAAAAGTAATATAATGCTCCTTCCCCTGATGTAGGCCTTGTTCTTGGCCGAACCACGTTAAATTATGTATTTTTTATTATGTTTTCTATTGTTCATCGTATAAACGTAATTATGGTTGCTGGTTCTATAAATTATTTGTCTCAGCAGTTGACTTGTTTCCTTAACATGCTGAATTAAAGAGAATAATGATCTTATATATAATAATATGAAAAACCATACGTTAATTAATTTATGGAATTGAATCTTGAGTTTTTAGAACAAACTATTGAACCCTTGAGAATATCATTGGATGATTTGTTATTTCAAATGTCACAGAATACCTTGAATATTTTATAATTTTTTTTGGGGAAAGCACAGTTTGCACCTCTAAATTATAAGGTTTGTCACAAACACCCCTTTGAACTACAAAATGTAACAAAATGGCCCTGCCGTTTTCAATCTGTTTGTTTGTGATGACGTGGCGTGTTCACTTCTTTACGTTTTAATCACTTTTGGTGTTGCAGCAATTTTTGGACGTTTTTACCCTATATATATATATATATATATATATATATATATATATATATATATATATATATATATATATATATATATATATACACCAACAAATACACATAAGTAAACTAAAAATCCTTTTTTTTCGATAAAAAGTTAGAATATTTGATTTTCCAAATCTTTACAGTACAATAAATATATATATTTTCCTTTTTGCAGCCCACAAAATAGTATATTAATTCCTAACAAATCATGATGATACTATTGTGTTGGAAATAAAAATATAATCAATTATAAAAAAGAGAAGAAAACCAGAGAAAAATAACTCAAGCCGGCTTATGCCTTCTTTAGTTCAAGCACACTAATCAGTAATCACTTGTACCTTCCAAATAGCGAAATCGATTTTCCGGCGACTCTTTTCCCTCTCCGACAATCCAATTGAAGGCTGCAATTTCACCATTAAGGAAGTGTGTGAGGCTGAAATCAATCGACGGGCGGAGAAGAAAGATAATCGCGGTGGGAGGAAATAATGTCGAATTGGTAAAGAAAAATGAAGAATAAGATGCATGCAAAAAGAAGAACACGAGAGAGTAGAGAGAAAGTGGTTTTTTTTTTTTAATAATTCAAGTCATTACAAGGGGAAGAGGGGGGAATTTGAACCCTAGACCTTTTATCCTATTGGTAAGGTTAGGTACCAACTCTCTTAATGAGGACAAATAAGTAAATGAACAAGAAAAGTAACGGTGTTAGTATTGTAGACGTTGACCACAAATCACAAGAGTCATTTTGATACATTTTGTAGTTCAGGATGATGTTTGTAACATATCCTATAGATCAGGGGTGCAAACTGTACTTTTCAATTTTTTTAGGGTAAATAGCACTTAACTCCCTTGTGGTTTGGACATTTTGCACATGACCCCCTTATGGTATGAATTTAGGCACATAACCCCCTTGTGGTTTTGACATTTTGCACATGACCCCCTTATGGTATAAAATTAGGCACATAACCCCCTTGTGGTTTTGAAATTTTGCACATGACCCCCTTATGGTTTGAAATTAGCACATAACCCTTGAATAGAAAATTGGAAAATATTAAATTACCCATATCAATTCCAAAATTCTTGTTTTAATTTAAAAATAATTATTCTATAAAATGGAAAGATTAATGTATTTTTTTAATAAAATGAAAAATATAATATATTATTGTGTTTTTTTTTTAATTTTACAACACAAAAGGTTTATAATACTAATTGTTGTACGATTGACAATTTATTTAATTTTCAAAATCAATTTGAAAATCTTTAACATTATCATTAATTATGATTATTATATTACTATTTTCTATATAATTTATTATATTATAGTTGTCATCGAACTTTAATTTTTTTAAGAAACAAAATATTTATTTATTTTATTCTTTTGGAAAAATCTGAAAATACATTTCTCTGAAGTTGAAATGAAAATTAAATTTTAAAAAAATATATGTGCGGTAAAATAGAAAAAACACAATAATATGTTATATTTCTCATTTTACAAAAAAATACATTAACTTTTTCATTTTATAGAATAATTATTTTTAAATAAAAACAAGAACTTTTGACTTGATAGGGTAATTTAGTATTTTCCAGATTTTTATTCAAGGAGGTTATGTGCTAATTTTATACCATAAGGGGGTCATGTGCAAAATTTCAAAACCACATGGTGGTTATGTGCCTAATTTCATACCATAAGGGGGCCATGTGCAAATTGTCAAAACCACAAGAGGGCTATGTGCCTAAATTCATACCATGAGGAGATCATGTGCAAAATGTTCAAACCACAAGGGGGTTAAGTGCAATTTACCCTTTTTTTAATAACAAAAGAATCGCATCCAACCATGCCAAAAAATGGCCTTTTACCAAGAATCTTTTAGCTACATTAAAGAGTTGTTCATAATGTACCTTTTATTAGTGCCACAACCTGGGGCTCATAGTAAATACTAAAATTTACCGTGGTAAAAAAATATTTGCTACGGTCATTTAGCGCAAAGCTTTTATCACGCTCGTATTCGCTACGGAGAAAATTCGTAGCAAAAAACTTTTCACTACAAATGTGGTATTCTATGCTATGTATTTGTGTGGTAGTAAAAAAATCATTTTTAATTTTTACTAATGTAGTTACTAGGTAAACCTACATTTTTGTGCATTTGCTCGCAAACCACGTACAAAAAATGTAAATCACACACTTAGTAGATTAAAACACTTGGATCAATTACACAAGCTCTCTTGCTCGAACCACAAAGCTGCACCCCTTATGGAAAGTAATTATATCTCTACATCAAATGAAGTGCATAAAACCAAGTACCAGCCATCCAAATGAACTTTATGAAATAACAACTATTTGAAACGAGAGCCATGCCATTGTTAAGATATACTTTGTTGTTCCCGATACATAAAACGGGTAGTGAATTTAGTAAATTGGTTGAACAAATTAATTAGTGAAAATACGGAAAGATTAGCCGAGGCGAGTTGACTCTGTCCTTAAGACGAAATTTCCCCGCAACGGTGCTAACGGATTAAATGGAAATCGTCTCCCAAGATACAACGGCTAAACTTGGAATAGGAGCACTCCAAATCCCAAGTACGACGAACTGTACTTTGTGTAGAACTTTTCGAGAGAATCTGTGAAGGGTAGGCTTAATATGTAGTAGGCTTGTTTTTGGATTGAAGTGAGTAATTGTGGGAAAGTTAGGGTCTATTTATAAGGTTCGAAAAGTAGTGTCCTTTGGAGCAAAAAGGTATCTTTGTTTGAATGGTTGCACCATTTCAAAGGTACCTTTTGTTTGAATGGTTGCACCATTTCGAGTTGAGCCAATTGGGAGTGGTTGCACCATTTCGAGTTGAGCCGAATGGTTTGCATTGGTTCGGCCGCACCAATTCAGACCAGTCAGACCAATCGAGATGGGCTTCGAGTAATAAGGGCCCAATGGGTTAAAAGCCCATGACTTAATGTTTTTGGCCCGTCCCAATATTTTGATATATATACAGCTCAGTACTTCTCTACTTTTCCAATGTGGGATAACTCAAATCCCACTTTCCTTATATTTTGGACTAGTAATTTTTTCATTCACCACAAAATTGGTTCTAATCCAAAATTCATTTATATACTCAATTAGACCGTACAATAACCTTGATAAAAAATTGTTCATGACTCAATTTTTAACCAATTTTCCCAACAATCCCCCACATGAATGAAAACGAGGGCGTCGATTCTCTCTAGAGTTCCCGCGAATAGTATTGCATCGGGATAGGTAGCATATAGCTTTGAACCTTCCGTAGTGGAGTTACATCGGATTTACTAGGCTGAGTAGTGAACGCGATGTCTTGAACTGTCAGCCGTTCGTGTAAACCAAGACAATGCAACCCACACAATACTATTCTCACATTTCCTTAGTTCTCATGATTGTGTCCGTTTTGGCCATAGACACACATCTTGGATTCATAAGTGTTTGTCAAGTTTTTTTTTTTTTTTGAAGCGGCCCTCACTTCATACACTTACATAGGTGATCTCCTATTAAAGGTATCCTGCCAATACCTCACCTTTTGTTATAAGGCCTTGGAATCATTAAAAGCTTTCGCTTATCCTTTACCCTCTCTGCAGCAGCACTAATGTCTATCACGGGAATGAGTTGGAAATATATTATTCCATAGGAATATATACTCCTTAGTGCATCACTGAACTTTCTTAGCTTAGTTGTCCCTTTTGAACCAGTTCTTGGGATCTCCAGTCAGCATGGTTGGGTTACCACCAAGATTGTCCTTAATTTATGGGTTTTAATCTCACTCCCCTAGACAGGCAATATGTTTGATCTCTTTAGTTGACTTTTAGTCGCGGATCCGCTATTAACCATTGATTTTCATAATCAATGTTATATTATTTCTTTTGAGATCAATTGCCTAATGGTCTTATGTGTACGAGTGTATCGATACTTGCCATTATACATGTCGTTTGTGCCCTTAACGTAACCGATTGGTTATCACAATTTATTCATAATTGTAGACACCGACTTAGTCCAACACGGAACATCCTCCAATAATTTTATGAAGTTTATTCAACTTCTTTTATAACCTTATCTCAAGTTATACATTCGAATTCGACCATGAATCGAGCTATTCAATTTTGTTTGAGGATTTCCAAGATACATAATCTTAGTGGACTCATATATCCAATGTACTTTCCTAATACAATGAGATTTTTTCTTTAATGTAATCCATTTAAAGGCTATACTTAGATTACCTAAGAACCCTTATAATATCATTGAATGATTATTATTTTAGGAATTACATATTTACTAGTTTGCAATTCATTATGCTGCCAAACTATCCAAAAATATTTGTAATTGAACCATTGTTCATCATTATTTTTGGGAAGGTAAACACTTGGTTTTTTAGACAACTAAATCAATTTTCTAGTAGTGTCTCAACATGAGACTTTTAATAAGACTATCTTTGTTTTAGTGACTTTAATCTATAAGATTACATCGTCTAAACCCTCGTCTTTTGACATCAAACATGATTTTATTTTTATTTTCAATATTTTCTCAACGTTCAAAATAATATCATGATCATTATCTCATGATTATAATGTCTTCTATGGACATACACTTCCATGTGATTTTAATATAAACACACTGGTCACACTCGTTATTACGAGAACTATTTGATAACACAATTTTATCAAATATTACTTTAGAATCACTTAACGAGTTTTATAAATAATCAAGATTTTCCATAGCTATTTAATTTAGCTTAATTGGACCACCATTTTAATTCTACTTTTGAATAGTCCATCTAAACCTTAATGGTTTACTACTTGAAAGAAGACAAATGTCCCATCGTTCATTATATAACTCATAAGTTAATAAAATCAAATCAAAATCAAACGTATTGATTTTCTTTGCCATCTTGTTGTATCTTGATTGTTCATCACTTTGATGATTTACCACTCACACATATATTAACTTGGTTGTTCATCACTTTGATGATTTACCACTCACACATATGTTAACTTGGTTGTTCATCACTTTGATGATTTACCACTTACACATTTATAAGTTCTTTTATTACGAACTTATTTATTTTCTTATTTTACAAGAAAACACAATATAATCAATTTGCATCAAGAGTGACTATCTTGTGCACAATCATTATTTATCCACTTAATTATACTAGGTCTTACACCCCCACATTTCTAAATATTAATGTGATTACTGGTTAGGGCCTAAAGACCCCCACATTTTTAAATATTAATGTGGTTAGCTCGGAATATCTAATTTTCCCCACAAATTCTAGAGTATGTATTCTAGAATTTATCATTATGATATCCATAAATTTTTCAAGAGTTTCAATACTCATTTTTAATTCATTTGTCAAAGTTGCATTTTCCAACTTTCATTCAGATAGCATTTAAATGCTTTGAAATCCTTATTTTTATTTATCAATAAGGATACACAATGTAACAAAATACATTTCTTCTTTAGTTAGAAAAATATATTGGATCACCAATATGATTTAATTACAAAAGAAATTGTATTTCAAGAAATCACAAAAAGAGAAATCATCTCAAGATACTTAAATCTTGTCAACAAATGAGATAGTAAGATTTCTTCATTTTCCTCAAAAGAGAAAATTCGTCAAGATACTTAAATCTTGTCAATAAACAAGAGAATATTAATCTCTTCAAATGGTGGTTGATCTCCACTATTCAACATTAAAGTTAGAATATATAAATTCTAATCTTAATCATTCATAATTTAGGATTGCATGTCCTAAACATGCTGTTCAAAATTCAGTCAAATCCAACGATTTAATTCTACAAAACGAGCTCTTAATTAAACTGCTCGAATTTTATTTCAACAAAACATCCATTGTTGTTAACAACTATTTCGGATCTTTGAACAATCAAAATCCGATCTCATCCATTCACATTGTAGATCATTATATTGCAAATGTGAAATCAAATCGAACCCAACGACTCGATCTTCTTTTATGTTCTTGAGACAAGAACTACTCATGTGCTCTCATGAATTGAGCTTCTCTTTCTTTCTATTTTTATTTCAAATCATGCTTTTAATTAAACCGTAGTATGATTCATATATATAAAACATATGTACATGAATATTATAATAAACATAATATGTGAGCACGACGTTCATACTAGTTGATTATAGAAAGAAACAATAGATCAAGCATACTTTATCAACATATACATAGTATACACATGAATACATAATAACATCAAGTTTATATTCCATGGCATAGATTAATTCATGTCCAACATAATAAATTGATATAAATTCTATCGCACATAATCAATGCATGTCCATGCAATAGCACAATTCTAAGGAATTAGTATGGCTTACACAAATAATAATATGTATAGAAATATTCCTCTTTACTAAGTAACTTATACTTAATATACGAGACAAATCTAATCGTTCATAGACAAGATCACGTACTCACAAATTTCATATAACATATTCGAAAATTAATCAATTGGACGGTTCCACATCAAATGAAAATTGGGATAAAGTTAATCCTGTATCTAAACTATATGCAATTTATGAAAATAAATATTGCATTTTCATGAGAAACGTTATGCGATTTATGATAAACTTATTCAAATAATTAACACATACCATATCACTTTATTGCATTTAGGATAAAAATATTTCTATCATTAATGTAGATACACAAACATAATGAATATTCATTAAGCAAATATATTGTATATAGTTTATTGTATATAGTTTACCATTCTTCCACATATTAAAATTAAACTATCATGCAATAATACACCATTATATCATATAGCATTATCAATTTATTGCACAAATAGATATCTTAAAAAACGTACCCGATAAATTATATGTTCGTCAATTCAAACTTTGTGGGTAGCACCAAATCGTGTCAATATTATGGCAGTGCTGAATGATTTAATCATATCTCTTCCGTCTGAAGTCCG